CCACCCATTAGAATTTTGATGTCACCATCTGGACTGGACTGGACTGGACTGGGATGGGGTGGGGTGGTGTGGGGTGAGGTCTTGTCCATTACTGATTTCGTTTGTCGGTAGAATTCCTCCTTCTTCTCTTCATCTGCATTATTTGTAGGTGCATAGTGTAGTGTAGCGTAGCATTCATTGTAGGATTGTGAGTTTGCTTCCTTTTGATTTGAATCCATCTTGCTGTGATGATCGTGATGGTGGAGGAGGTGATTGGTTCCCACTGTATGAGAGACAGCCATCGATGGTGTTGGGGACATTGTGATAGCTACTCCATAACTCAGTGTGCTTGTGGTTGTCATCTGGATGACAATATCGGAGTAGATTATTGACTCTCCAGTTGACAGTTTGAAGAGGTCCACTTCGATTCCATCTGATTTCACGGATTCCTAGCACTTCAATGCTATACCTTCTCATCTGTTGAGCAATCTGTGCAGCCTTGTTAGGTTCATACATGGTGTGGACATTCCTTGTCTGCATGCTTACTTTCGCTTTCATCGAGAGGAGAGAAGAGACATCGGGCAATTGGCTTCCCGAAGTCAAGCTTTCACCAACCGGTGTCATGCGTCTCCCTGATTCCAGGGAGGAATAATTTTGTTTTTATTTTGTATATTTTCTTTGTGCTTTGAAGTTTGTTTAGTGTTTGAATTGGCTTTATGGGGTAGGGTTGTGATCGATTTGCCGAACCTTCCTTGTTTATCCGGGTTAGGACCGGCTAGTAACCAGTGAACTAGTTAACCAGTTGACCAGGTGAATTTGCTCAACTTATAAGGAAGCTCGATTTCGACAAAACAATAAGATGTAGATTGTCTGAACCGCGCACCAAACATTTCGATCTATCTGATGAAACACGTACCTGTCATAGGTATCCATATGAAAATTCATTAAGATAAGGGGTGAGAGAATGGAAAGAGGTCGAGTAGGAAAGCTGAATTAGAGGCTAAATAACAAAGAAAATCAATAGAGCGAAAATAATAGTACATCGAACTTGGTTTTCATAGTTGAATTCACCGAGGGAGATTTAATGTGATAAAGAAGGACACTAACTGAAATACCGTTCGCATATAACGACCCGTCAAAATTCGTTAGTTAATGCGAAACAACCATAGCGCCAAAACTAGCCTTTAACTTTGTCAGAAAGGGAGATGGCTTCATCAGTCTTCCGTACATTGGTGACTATCAGCAAAGTCCTTAAGCAGAGACTTAACACTGGTGTTAGAAGGACTTACTATGCAGCTAGGGTTCGATTAATAGGAACCACCAAGCTTGTATATTCTGTCTAACCCTTACAGCATGTGAACGAAAATGTCGCATCCTATTGCATCTACCAATTCAAATCTACTTGTGGTGACACGTATGTATGGAGGACTCATAGATGCATGTAAGTAAGAGTCTTGGAGTATATTCCAAAGTGTCTTCAGAAGTGAATTGAATCACCTGAACCCATAAATGCTGGTAGCAGACGTCCATCTTCGATCGTGAAACATACTGTTGAGACCGGTCACAGGATTGACGTGGCTACTTTCTTTAGATCCATTTACAAAACGTGTTGGGGATGGATCCTTAAATTTGTTGAGACCTTAGCTATTAGGAAGTTTAAAGCACCTTTGTGTGTACAACAACAATTTGTTATCACATTATTTTCGAACAGTATTTCAGTTAGTGTCCTTCTTTATCACATTAAATCTCCCTCGTGAATTCAACTATGAAAACCAAGTTCGATGTACTATTATTTTCGCTCTATTGATTTTCTTTGTTATTTAGCCTCTAATTCAGCTTTCCTACTCGACCTCTTTCCATTCTCTCACCCCTTATCTTAATGAATTTCCATATGGATTCCTATGACAAGTAGGTGTTTAATGCAGGACATGGTTCATGCCATTTTGCTTCTTCTTATTGTTTGGTTGGAGTTTATAGAGGAAACTGATTGTTTTAAATTTCTGAACCAATAATGTAGTTTCATCAGTACTAAGTAGATGTAGTATACCCTACCCAAAGTTGCACATGAGATTCGTTAACTTTCCGCAACTTACCTCCTACCTATGTTTATCGACATTTATGTCAAATTTAAGGAATTTAGAAGAATTTTTCAAAACCTCTGTTTTACTGAAGGAGTTCTATCATACTGACTGCATACCATGATTTTAAGTCAAATTGTTCCATTAAATGAATTAGGAACACGACGTAGGTGACAGAGCTTATTTTTAGGAAAAAGATCCTAAATGACATTGTTATTTACCAAAACTAGTGTTCATGAACGTTCATCGAGAGTCTGATCGAATGTTCTAACCAGACGGGTCTTATAACTTGTAGTGGCGCATCTAGTTGCAGTTATCGAAATCTGTAGTGTAAGGTCTTACTATGAAATTAGTCAACATCCGGTTTTGAATATAGGAGCATATTGAATGATAGTATCCGCCCATTTCTGTTGATTGAGTTCCTCTTGAATTTATAAGACAATTCTCTAAGCCTTACTTAACTGAAAAGCGTTTGTCACGTGAGACATGCATACTAATATACACTCAATGAGAACTTTTGTTCATTCAAGTTGATATACGTGTTTCTCAGTGACTTCAGTTCACTGAATTCTCGGTGGCTTTTTTAAGTTTTGGGCTACCAATAATCTTTCATTGAATACATTTCATCAAATTGCTCCTTTTTTACTGGTTTTCACTATTCAAATATCAGCAAATCGTTAAATATATCCTCGCGCACTCTTAGAATATCTTCAACCTATCGTTAGACCGGTTAACAACAAGACTACGAGAAAATATTACAGTAGACAGCAGCTGGCCCCTGAACGCACAACAGTATATTTCATAGCGATTACAGAAACACATAGCTGGAAACGCAAATTTTCATACTGGATAAAGGAAACATCCACCACTAAACTTGTATGTGCTTTACTATCCAATCGACGCGCAACATTATATAAACCAGATGATGACCTAAAAACTACTGGTTGTTTTGTATTATTGTCTATCATCCCGTTATTATTAACATTATTTAACTTCTATGGTTTTTTTTATTTTGAAAATATTGTAAAAGAAGTAAATCTGCTGAAATATCACACTGAGAATTCGAAAAGTTATTGTCTGGAATAAAGTGATTATTATTACTATATTTTGAAATTATTTTTTCAGATTTGCTTTTCATACTGCATGGAGTACATAACATAGTTGGTACCCTGGTTTAAATCATTAGATTGTGAATAAAGACTTTATCCTACCACCATTTTCTAGTCTTGTTATATTCTTGTTGAAATTACTACTTTTCTTCATATTGAATGTTAATTTCTGATAAAGTTTGTTTAAAATGCATTTTTATTCACTTTAATAAGTGGACAGACTCATTTGTCTCCGTGAATCCAAGTTGGAGATGGAAGTGTCCGCAGTATAGTTATATCAGTTAACTAACTTATCATCAGTCTGTTTGTAAGCCATAGTCGGTAAAACTTGGTTTAGATTTGCATTCTTTGAATATACCTTGAGGCGGTCATCCGTTCAGTTATATTCCAGTGTTCTAAGATACTTCACCAGGATAGCACGAGTGAAATATACCTTAAACGATGTATATTCTTTAACTTCAATCAATATTTTTCTCAAAAAGAAAGTATATTAGTGTCTTAAGCAATCCTACTGAAATAGATATCATAAATTTCTATTGCTAATATCAATTAAATAACTTAGTGCATATATACTTTCAAGTAGCGTACTAATACTTTACATACACAATCTGGGTATTAAAGACTTTCATTGATACAAGCGCACTTTCACAGGTGGTCTTTTGTATCCTTTTTTTTATAAGACTGACTTTGTAGGAGGATTGTTAATTTATATTTTAAAGTCAATTATAAATAAATTTTGCTTCTCTTAGATAGTGCGATGATTCTGATAACCTTTATGGGCTTATTTATTGTCACGTTGATAGAGTGAAAGAACCCTTTTATTGAAAACAACGTTTAAGTCTGTATCATCGACTGAATTTCCTGACTGTGCAGATGAACTACATTCTCCCTCCGTTTGTAAAACCATATATGCCTAATCCTCTAAAGTATCAGCAGTGGTGTTGGCAACTGGAACCACGGACTGTTACCACGCTTATACTTATTTCATTAGAAGGGATTTATTGAGTTTCCTACAAGAAGAGCACAAATTTAAGCACTGATATCCCATTGGTATGACATTCTAAACCAAAAAACGTTGGTCAGTTCAAGTATTAGAGGATAAAATAATAAGAAACTTGTGTTAGTCAGTGAAGTACACTCAATGATGACAGACATAATTCTAGAGACTCATCTGACTGTTCAATATTTATCAATAAATTAGGAAGACCTGTTTAGATATACACATCTGTCAGAGAAATATTACACTGGCTATTTTAAAATCCCGGTGTGAGTCATAATCCAGCTACATTTCAATGGTTAAATTATACCGAGACGATTGGTATCACTGAAATAAAAAATAGCCATACAGTAAAATGTAGCTTCCATAATCTAAGAGAAAAATTTATTTTATCGTGTAGAATTCACCTGGTAAATTTAGATTTCACTTTTAACACTCCTGAAGATATCTGTGACACAAAGTGATTGCCACAAGATGAAGGTGTATTCTTTTTCTAATTTACTTGAGTATCTGCCTTTTTACAAAATATCTTCATTTAATGTTAGAAAGAGAAAGAATATTGCTAATGCGCTAATGTGCGCCTCGGGCTTATTTGGTTAGCGTCACTAGATATTCGATTAGGTCTGCCTTCTTGAGGAAAAAATGCTAACTGTTTCTTAAAACTAACAGGTATGAAGGTAGAGTTTTGATTGTCATTTATCCTACAAACGTTTGTATCCATAGCGATTTATTAATAATAGTACTCTATCTAACGTTCAGTGTCTATTTAAATTGCGTAAAAGCGTTCATAAAATCATTTTATTAAAATCTCTTCCTAATTATTATTTTTCACTACAGCGCCACCATCTATCAGATTTTCAAGTCCTGAAGGAGAACACAGTGTTGCACTAGGATCTAATTTAGCACTATTTTGTGTTGCAACTGGTCATCCATTGCCTAAGATTACATGGACAAGAGATGGAAAACCAATTAGCGGTGCGAAATATACAATCAGTGAAGATTATATTCACTTAAGACTTACTGATGTCGAAGAGAATGATGGTGGTCGGTACGCATGTCATGTGATGAGTGAATATGGACAAGTCTCAAAAACATTTGATGTTAAAGTTACTTGTAAGTTATTGCTGAATAATGAGAATATAATTTTTCACAGTCTAAGTGACTTTACTCTCCGCCCAGGATAATCGTGGATACACACGCGTAACGTTTATACAATTTGTTCCTTTCGTGAGAAAAGTGGTAACTAGTTTGTTATTTTATTCAAAACGCGTTCAGTGCATAACATAAACATATATAGCTACCTGTGTGGTCTTCTTGGTGGTAAGGATGATTACTGAGTAAAACCTTGCAATCTGTTTGGTTGCATTCAAGAGACTGATATTACCGAAATATTTAAACTGAGTCGAATCACATGGCTATGACATTTTAAGGAAGGGAATATTGATTACAGTTGAGATAAGCGTGGTGCGTCATCAGAAAGCCATTCTTGTTTTATTCTAACTTGTGGGTAAGAAAACAGGCAAAGGTATTAAACCATGAGTACTTCCCTTCATCTTTCCATTCAAATTATAAATAATGGTGGACATATTTTCACCATTCAAAAGCTGCTTTTATGACTTGATAAGTAGAGTCTCGAAGTAGGAAAAATTATTCGTAAGTAGTATGATTACAATAATAGAAATTACATCTATCGCTCAGTGTTGAAATATTTCATAAGATCTTCGAATGCAGTTCTCATTTAATCTTAGTAAAAACGAAAGCTTTCCGGAAAATTTGTTCAACTTCAAATCGGCCTTGTAAAGATTTGTGTTGGAAAAATAATTCAGAGTTCATTGAAAGCTTTGAGATTAAACTTTCTAGCTCAGAGAACACAACCAAGATCACCCACCTGAGCAACAAATATTCACCACCATTTCGGAGTTCAACTGAATCTGGTTAAATATTTAGTCAATCTTACGGTAATCGTATGCATGTCGGCATGCTGAGAGTAAGACGTGAATTTGAGAGCTCAAGTGGAAATTTTAAATTTCGACGAAGACTATCTTTTGGAGTACGTAACGATGACGCAAGATCAGTACGGCAAAATTTTTAATTCAAAAATCTTTAAAGATTTTCAATAAAAAGAGAAAGATGACCATTTTGTTGTTTTTCCATATTTTCATGTTTTGCCTAGTGAATATGGTCTATATGCTTTTTCCAAAATTAATGAATTCGGAATGATTTCGAAATCCATACAAAAAGCAAAATGGAAATAAAAATCGTAGTTGTAACGCTTAGTTTCAGGCAGATATTCATTATGCTCAATGAAAATTAGGGTTTTCAGCTGTCAGTTATTTAAAGTCAAGTTTGATTATATATTATTGTTGTTTCGTATTTTAATGTAGATAGAATAGCCAAGATGCTAGGCTTGTCTGCTTTAGTGAACAGGAATATATGTCTAAACAGAAACTATCGTAAAACTCTTTAGCATAGAGACTGTTAAATCATATTTCAAATTTACCTATAGATGGACCTCGGTTGGATCCAGATGGACAATTACAATATAGTTTGGAGCGTACTGTTGGTGCTAGTGCACTTCTTGAGTGTCTTGTATCCGGTAATCCTAGACTAAAGATTGAATGGTTTAAGGATGGAGTACCACTTGATCAACTTTCCTACAGGTGAGTTATGGTGTTTTTACAGATACAGAATGGTATTTGAATACCAAGAATTCATGTTCATTGTTCCATACTGATATGAAATGATACAAACTATTCATAGATCTACACTGAATAAATTTAAGGAGATAGAACAAGTGAATGCTTACTAATTCATCAAATGAGGCATGTATATGCAAAGATGTTACCAGAAATAAACACGTTCAGAAATTGCTTGGTTTTTAAAGTACTTTTCACTAAAAACTCTGGAAAGGTATTGGTTAGTTGGGCGGCTTATGCCTAGGATAGCAGGCTTGATTTTCGAATAAGTAACTAAGTACTAACCAAGTCACCTCCCTATTATAAATCACTTGATATATTAAGGGAGAAAGGTCATGATAGCAGAGGTTTCGCATGCCTTTCAGGGAAGACAAGTTTACAGAAGTCTGGTTCCATTAGTTGCACAATAAATAATGAACGTTCCAGGTTTCTCTCCGGCAGATGTTAGCATCCTTTTTGAATATCTGTATGCTAGGAAGTGGATTTCTAGATAGAGATGTACTCGGAGAAAAGTTTTTAGTGGCATTTGTGTCATTCACTGCAACTTAGCGGAAATTCATCATTATAACAATGGTTGCGCTCTTGAAAGCCTAGCAAACTTATTTACTTTATGTTATGTTAATCAAACTGGTAGTTAATATTGACTTGAGTATTGAACATAAAGTACTAGAGCTAAAACAGCCTAATGTCAAAACATTTTAGCTAAAATTTCAAAAATTCATGTCGGAAGAGGTAAGTTATAACCAGAGTTTATTGTTTACAAGTAGTTGTTATACATAAGATAGTTAACTGCACTCACTTATCAGTGGTGGCAAAGATGAGCTATAATTTTCGTGAATTTATCAGTAACCTCAACTATAGTTTCTACAGTTCCTCTTTTACATGTCACATCAAAACTAAGCATGTTAAGTTTGTATAGAAGGTAAATGAGTAACGTATACACGCATTACCAAACTCAGTTAAACTGACTACTTTTACTTCCCATCCAGCATTTTTGTTTATGATAAGAACCTGGTCAGTAGGTGTCATCTTCAGTACACCTACTTTTCTAGAAGAGATTTTTATCTGTACTAATACCTCCTTAGGTAAAATGTCATAACTGTGGTGTTTCGAAAGCATGGAACTGTAAACTAGTGTTTTGTAAACTAAGATTGTCCCGTGTTTACTAAAATATCCATCCATTCATTCATTATGTAAGTACCCATAAGCCAATACTAGTCGACTATTTCAGCCCAATCAAATCAAGGAATAGAAATGATTAGTCATTTTATCACATTATATCGACTGCACAAGCAATGGTTATTGTAACCCAGTAGGTTAGAGGAAGTTGTTACGGTGTTTGTGGTGGTGAACACTTGGTTAGCATTTCAATACGAACAGAAACCTATTAGGATGCAAGTACATTCAGCTAAAAAAGTCCTAAATTAGATGAAGTTCGCATCATCCATTTCATTGTTTGTTTGCTTGAATTATATTTTACTTTTGGCCCAATTGAAATATTCAGACGTCTTGTTTAGTTCATCCTCTATTGTTACTGGATTTAGAACACTTTCTACACACCTTGATTTTTGGATTTTTATAGATGTTAACTCTGATTCAGGAACTTCAGTATTCATGTGAAGCCAGTTGGTGATTGTTTGCTTCTTTGTGTAGTCGCATAAATTAGTATTCTTGCCTTAAGCATAATTAAAAAGCTTCAATAAACCACCTATATTGATTTTAATTCCAATTTCATATCATGAGATAGGCTTCATTCTCCAATAGTGCGCCAAATTGATTGTTCTAAGTTATTTGTTTTATCCGTGTTACTACTTAGACGTGAGACAGAATAGAATGAGCATCGGCTTGCAGTCATCATTGGTGTCGATGCATATGAATCAGTACAACCATAAGTTCAATAGGGACAACATGGAAATACTACAACAAGTAAACTAAAAAACATTAAGAAAATTCCTAGGAGCATGGTATTCCGATTAAGTGGTAGTCGACAGACACGTCAATATTGACCACACTATAGGGACTAATGAAAAGGGACCAACCAACTAGAAATCAGTCAGACGAATAAATAACCAGATACTAGGTCAACGGTATAGCTGGAGTGATAAAAACAGACATAACGATCAATCTGGGATGAAACGAGAGAGTAAATTCACCATTAATCACAATTCAGTAACTCTTAAAGTCGGCAAATATCCTTTATAAACGCTTATACAACTTGAAAATGCTTCACCTACTTATAAAGTAAATACCGATGAAGACTTCCAGTCTGGTGATGAGAAATCCGAGAACAAACCTCAAATCTCATGGAAAATCAAACAATTACCGTAGAATAGGTACTCTGATCGAATATAATAAGTAGATTTACTGTATTTGTTATTTTATTTATTTGTCCCTTGGGTTCCTAGTGGAACATAGGGCTTCAGTAGCACGTCTCCACTCCACTCTGTTCTCTGCAGTCTTTTGAACTTGGCTCCACGACTGCCCAGAAGCTCTCATTTCTTCTTCACACGATCTCCTCTATGTCACCTTCGGCTAGGATACCCAACTCGTCGTTTCTCATCTGGGTTCCATTCGAGGGCCTGACATGGTGCGTGATGTCACCAGTCAACCTTCTCAGTGTATGCCCAATCCGATCCATCTCCACTTCTTTCCAGTGCATATTTGTTGGCAATGGGTTTTGGTTGGTTCGTTGCCAGGTCAGAGTTTCTTATTGCTTATTCTTTCTGGTCATCTAATCTTCAGTAACGAGCCAGCATAGGCAGTTGTTGATGAATGTCTGAAGTTTGTTGGGAATGCTTTTCCTAAAGTGCCAAGTCTCTGAACCATCACATAGAAGCACTGACTTACTTGACTGACATTAGTATTGAAAATCCGGATCCTGTTCTTTATGCTGAGTGTAGAAGATCTCCAAACCGGTTTGAGGTTAATGAACGCCTGTCTTGCTGTCTTTCCGATCCTGGCTTTGACATCCTTGTCTGTACCACCTGTAGTTGAAACGATGCTGCCTAGATAGGTGCTACGTCCTTCAGGTTTCTCCTGTTGATGGTGATTGGAGCTTGTTGTTGGTGGCATCGGTTGGGTATTGTCATCACCTCTGTCTTCTCCATGCTCACTTTAAATCAGTCCCGTCTTCGCTGCCCTACCTCGCCTCTTCTGCCAACTTGATAGTTTTTGTCTGTAGCTCTTAGAGGTTGTGCGACACTAGACATAAGTCATCGGCGAAATCCAAATCTTCTAGGATTTTTTCCCAGTCCAGCGCATCCCCCTCTTCTTGCTTCTCACTGCTTTCTGCATTTCTTTGTGCTTTGAAGTTTGTTTAGTGTTTGAATTGGCTTTATGTGGTAGGGTTGTGATCGGTTTGCCCAACCTTCCTGTTTATCCGGGCTTAGGACCGGCTAGTAACCAGTGAACTAGTTAACTAGGCGAGGTTAGATTTGCCGTATTTTGTATTTTTATAAATTTTAAGGTATAAGAAGTGTAGAAAAAGAAAAGACTGAAGCACAGGAAGGATTGATCTTTATTGACATCTTGTACAGTAGTCACCACATATTGTAGACCTTCCACTGGCTAGTAGTTTCCATAAAGTGCTTTATTTCCTCATCTGCTTCTATCTTGTCTTTTGCATTTCTCTGGGCACAGTCTTTACCCCCTGCTGTTAATTTCCTGTGATTTCTTCCGCCCTCCCAACATATACTACTTATATCAATTTTTATCAGTAACGTGCACTACAGGAGGTATGAAATAACATTTCGATAGATAAATATCTTATGAAAATAATTTTAATGTTGGCTTTTCATTTTGCTCATAGATATCGTTTGATAAATCAAGATCGTCAATTAGAAATAATATCAATGCAACCGACAGACGCTGGTCGTTATAGATGTGTTGCGAAAAATAACTACGGTCAGCTAGAAATCAACACAGATGTTTCAGTCGGAGGTAAGTTTATGTTTTGTCAGAACTAAGCTCCACCTGATGTGAAGATAACTGTGATTGAAGTAGAGGGCCTACAAATGAGTAAAATCATAGAGAAGGTTTCAGTGAAATGATGGTGTTTAAGGCGTAGGATAACATGATTAAGCGTTAAGTTTGAACTGAAGTTTGTTACACGTACTAATTTCTCACTATCATATAAACTTTATTAAAAGATCTTCAAATAAAAAATACCGCTGTTAAGCGGAGAATTACTTAAAGTGATGACAAATAAATTATCAAAAACCAAACTGTTAAAAGATTATTACAGGCAATCAGCAGGAAGCTTCCAACCAGATTCCTTACTTGCTGGTATCCATCGGCAAGGTTTATATGTAACCTCGAGGTATTCTGGTTAGGCAGAAGAAATTCTATGTTACTGAGTCCAGCATTCAGAAACGCTATCAACAAGCTTCCAGCTAAAAACATGGTTCTTTGCTGGACTGTATAAGATAGAAAACTGAGCCAGCAGAAATTAATCCGCATCATTCTATTTAGTCAACACAATCAAGTAAGAATTATTGACCAATTTATAATGGAATCATACTAGGCTAAACAATTCTACTTGCGTTTGATGTAGAGTGGTTCCACGTCCACCCCAAAACGAAAGGTATTGGAAATAGTGATCTGACTTGAATACTACGTATCCAATTTCTAACAGTTTTTCTAGTGGTCCACCTAGTAGCTACTGAAATAGTCGTTTAGGCAGATTTGTTTTAACTGGAAAGAAGATTTTCATAAAATAAAGAAGTCGAACTGGTTATTTCATTTATTTCTACGGTTGCTTTTGCAATCACTCCAATTTTATCATGATTGAGAGAACGAGTAGATCTGAAATTCACTCTAGAAACTATTGGAATAACTATTGGGTTTATCTACTCATGAAAATGCTAACCTAAATATAGAAAGATAAATAATTATTTCAGTGGCAGTTAGGCTGGGGCTGTACAGTCAATATGCAAACTGGATTGAAATAGGTAACGTTAGAAATGGGAGACTAAATGTCACTCAAGCAACTGCTGAAATGATCAATGAAATTCCGCTATTTCAGATAGGACCTCAGTTCTTCATAAAATAAAGAAACCTAATTGGTTATCTCTGCAGTGGGTTTTAGACTCACTTCAAAATTGACAGGCTTGAAAGTTGACCACCTTATAGCTTCAACTGATACTGTCTACAACACTGTATGAATATTAACAGTCTAGGTTGATATTTATCTGCCATCCGCTCGCTGAATCGGAAATTAAACTTTGCATACTAATATCCTTTCCGCTAGAATTGACGTGTGACCTCAAACGTTACTCAAACAACGAGTGAAATGGATTTTAAGTTCCTTGTTTCATATAAAAACTTTCTTTGAATCTGAAAAATGGAAACTAATTGGTTATTTTTAATGGTTCCTATTGTGGTAATTAGAGTAACACGAATTCATTTCAAACAATATGACTGGATTACCAGAAGGACCTGAGTAACTGTAACGATCACACCAGAAGTGATTTTGTATGTCATTTTAACAACTGAGGAAATGGTCAGTTAGGTTTCCTTATTTTGTGAAAAAAGCTGTATTTTTTAGTCGAAATATAGGAACCTAATCGGTTATTTAAGCAGTTTCTGGGTTGGTGCCAGAATCCTTAAAGCAAGTAACTCTAAAGGGCCACCTTGGCAACTGATGAAACAGCCAATCACGTTTCTCTATTCTGTGAAAAATTATCTTCCCAGTCAAAATACCGCAGTCTGATTGGTTATTTTGGCAGTTGTTAGGGTCGCCTTTATAGTCGCGAATTTAAACGCCGCCTTAGCAACTGTAAAATAATGAATCAGGCTTAGATATTTCGCTCGTGACAGTAGTTTTTCACTAAATAGAGAAACGTAATTGGTTATCAGAACACTGGTATGCCCTTTTAAGTTGACTTTAGAGTCAATCTAGTTTAAATTACAGACGTAAAGACTTGTAGCAATTTTACGAAACACTAATTTTTCGATGAGTGATTTTCAATGTAACTTTAAGGCCCACACTAGTACCGATAGTAATAACCTATTAGGTTTCTGCATTTCAGTTAAAATAAACAGATTTTCATAAAATAAAGAAGTTTGGCTGGTTTCTTTATTTCGACTGAAAGTTTTTTCTCAAAATACAGAACTCTGACTGGTTATTTCAATCGTTTCTAGTGTGGACCTTAGAGCTACTTGACTTTAAAGGCCACTATAACGACTCAAACAGCCAATTATTTCGGCTGGTTATGTAGGTTTTCCTAAAAGCAAGAAGACTAATGGGTTACTTCGTTTTTTAGAGTAATCTTGAGGGTCACTCGTTTTACTCAGAAGTTAATCTAGAAGCCCCAGAGTTTATTCAACAATTATCCTAAGACATGTGTGGTTGCAAGCCTTTGAAGACACTGTAGTCCTATCAGACACTGGAGAAACTAAGCAAGTAACTTTAAAGGTCACCTCAGCAACTGATGAAATGACCGAACAAATTTTAGTATTTCGGCTGGGATAGTGGTTTTCCATAAAACAGAGATACGTCTTTGGTTATCTTAGCCGTTGTTTAGGTTGGCTTTAAGGTCACTCAACTAAATGCAAGAACATTACCATGTGTTTATTGGGAGCCGATTTCATTTGCAAATAACAATCTTCATATTTTCTGTGCTCTTGGGCATTTTCAGCTCCAGCTCGCATTGATCGTGGACGTGTACGTACGGAATATACAGTTCGTGAGGGAGATGAACTTGTACTGCCATGTCCTTCTACTGGATCACCAATACCGAAACTTCACTTTTCTCGTACTGGTGAACCTCGTCTGGGCGGTAGATATGACGATAGTTCAGGAATAATTAAATTATCCAGACAAACAGATAATCTGCCAAAACATTCTGTTGTATCTCAGGTAATTAGTCATTAAAACAAGGATAAGTTTGTAGTTTATTGAAAATGGTGACTGTTAGTTTGTTTATTTTTCCACATCATAACTTTAAAAATTGATTAAGTGAGAAGTATTAAAATAAAAGTAGAGACAGCAAAGACTGAGGTTTTTGAAGTTATTAGAAGAACCGGTCACTTCACTTTTTTCCTAATATTTTACCACGAAAAAGAAAATGAATGAAAACATTTGGACCATATAATCAGTTCACAAATTATCTGTTAATTACACTGTCCACGTAAACGTTTTCCATCACTGAGTTGTTTTTCGACTGTCTGGCTGCGAGATCACAAGATTCCGCTGAAAGCTTTCTTGTCAAGACCTGACATAAGTGTAATGAACGAAAAAGATATGCTACTAAAGAACAATAGTACACATAAAGCACTCACACTCATCTACTTCTAAGTAACTATGTTCAGTTGATCTAAACAATTCAACCGTGAGCTATGTAAGTACACCATTGATGATTTTAGTCCTAAATGAGTGAAACAGACGTTCAGCGTTGAGATGTAGCTAGTGAAATCTACCAATCCGTATGTATGGTTTATAACTACTGTTGTTTTCATCATTATGTTTTGTTAAGCGAAAAATTGGTCTGTAACTCCAAAGAAATTATGTGAATGAAGCAGCGAGATTTTTTTATTTCCCTTATTATTAAGGCATAAAGTTAACCAATTTTCAGTAACGTGTCATATGCCAACACTCCCCCACGGAATAATAGAAGCACCACAGCTCTACATACAGGACATCAGATAATGAAATTCTCATTTGGATGATAATCATAGTATCTTAACCTAAAACTCACTTACAGAGAAACCTTGTAGGTTAAAGGATCCTGTCGAACCTGTTAAATAAAACAGTTTGATCTACTGAGTTCCATGCAGTGACTTAGAGGTCAAATACATAGTTCAAACTAGCCGATCAGAGTCATTCGGTTATCCGAACGTAAGAACTTAGCTAAATTGAGTATCATATGACCCACCTAGAAATGAGTAAGTACCCCAGAAATACTATCCGTACAGTGAAACACAATAAGGCCGGGTAGAATAACATTTCTAACGACTAGTATATTTGTGTAATGGAACAGATTGGGCAGTAAATTAGATCCACACCAAACATACTCAATCGGGATGATTCAAGGTTATTTGTGGATTTATGAACAATTTGACTATGATTAAAATTCAAGAAAAGAAGGCAGTTGAGCGATATAGACCTAACCAGAAAGTTGTGCGATCATTCTCGAAACGTTATTCAGTCAATAATACTGAATCACTGCTGACTGTGGCAAGCAAACCTATTCAGTATGAAATTGCTTTCTACTGGGGTGCAAATCCTACTCTTACAACACTGACCTGAAATTTTATTTCGATATGTTCCACTTATTGCAAATTCGGGTTAAAATTTAAATGCCAATATGGTTCAGTTCACATTCTTAAGCTTAACAACTTGATCATGGTAAGTAGTAGTTAGCCAAGCAGCGAACCAGCTACTGGACTGCTACTTTATCCTCATGCCGGCTAGTTTCATCAGTTTCTTTTAGGGGCAATGGAGAAAGTATTAGCCTTTGACGACTGAAAAATCTTAATCTTATATGATTCAGGTAGTGCAGAAATCATCTCCAGAGTCTGCAACTAATGTTCCTTAAGCTCACTGACTGTGACCGAATCACCGAAGATATATACCTATATATATATAAGTTATATTTGGATAAATCTCAGTGTCTGAAATAAGAAATTCCTAAGTTTTGCACGGAAGCCTTGTCCGAGTTTCTTTAGAGAAATTATCAAAATCGGACCAGACTTCCATGCGAAACGTTGAAATTTCTCATTTAAAACACGCTGAGATTTGTTCAAATATAACGTATATTAATGTCAACTTTCCACTCGGCCCCAATATTTATGAAGCTGCCTGGTTAAATCTTGATGAGGGTTCATATAAATTATCTTATTTATGTTGATCAAAACATTTTATTAAAAATAATAACCTTTTACAAAGAAAGGTTTTTGTTAAATGCCATTATTAATCAGTTCTTTGCGTTATGCTTATCTAGTGTGAACTGTTTGACGTTTTTATTTGTCTAATTCATATCCAAGGTGTCCACTTTCTCTTTACATTCATTATTTTCTTAATGCGAACAATGACAGGATCGTCAGTCATTGACTATTTTCCGTACATCAAAAAGTGATAGCGGATCATATCAATGCAATGCAAGCAATGCCGTTGGATGGGATATTATGGAATACAGTGTACGAGTTCGTGGTAAGTAAAAGCAAACGACTTTTACGAGTTCATGTATTCTTAAAGTGTATATGTATATGAATAGATTGGCTTCCTACCACCTAGTCGTCACTAATATCAAGTTTCTAAGTGATTTAGAATTCATCCTTTGCTTACTATTATTTTTCTGGTTGCTTAAAAGCTGATATATGTTTTTATCTTCAAGAATATGCTTGAAACATTTGATTTTCATTACTAGAAAATATTAATCTTTGTGTATTGTTTATGCAATGATTCTTGTTTTCTTATCATATAAGCTGAAACTTAGTTCTGAATACTTCTTGAGAATACTAAATGGTAAACAAGATTAATAGCATGCTCAGTGGAAGGATTTGAGAAATGATATCGGTTTAGTTTGAAGAAGTCTAGATACTCTTTTCAATGGCCACTGGTTTTGTTTTCAGGAAGGCTAATCGCTTTATTTATAAGGATATGTCAATGAAGAAGCTTAATTGGTTGATAAAACGTAAGGATTTAACGAAATGGTGAGAAAAAAAAAGAATAATTGATATTAATATTTTAATCTTACGTCAGCCCTTGGTGAAGAGAAGATCAATGAAGCGACTGACTTTATTTATTGAAAAAATACAACTGGTAGTGGTAAAATTACAAAACCTAATACTGTTATCTATTTGCAAACAATCTTTTGTTCCGTATCTCACTCCGAACTACTCTTACTCTTTGTATTTCCATCCAACATTGTCGGTATTCTTCTTCAAAAACACGATATTCAGCGAATAGGACTCTTTTCAACGAATTTATTCTCAAGCTGTACATTCGTACATACGAATTTTATATATATATATATATATATATATATATATAAAGACTGTAATTCGTGTTATCATTTCCAACGTTTCTGCATATTCTACCTACATACATTCATCTAAATAGCTATTATGCCATCAGTTAAAAACTAAACAGATATGTTTAGAGTGATTTTAAAGGCCACCTTAGAAACGACTGATATAGCCAATTAAGTTTATTTATTCCCTTCAAAAAATATTTCATATCAATAATGAGTGCAAAGTATTACTTTTACAAAGGAAGTTGAATCCAACTTATAAAAATTAGCCTTTATGAACTGTATTATGGAAAAAACAACTGTGAATTTCTTTCCAAGAAATTCGGAACCAAAGAGAACAAAAGACTTCTCAGTCATAAACCAAAAGTTCCAGTTACGTTTGAAATCCAAACCAGGATTAGTCTGAAATGCGGTTCTTTATTAATAAACAATATTGAGTAGTAAAATACAAACCTCGAATCATGAAGTGTCTGCGGGTTTATCGCTTTCAAAGCACTTACAAACAGTGCGTCAACAGTAAAAACAGCATTGGCTGTATCCAAGCAACCATAAGGGGATATTATTATTATTATTATTATTATTAGTCCCTTGGGTTCCTAGTGGAACATAGGGCTTCAGTAGCACGTCTCCAGTGACCTCTGTTCTCCGAGATCTTTTGAACCTGGTTCCACGACAGCCCACAACCTCTCATTTCCTCCTCGCATGACCTCCTCCATGTCACCCTCGGACGTCCAACTCGTCGCTTCCCATGGGGATTCCATTCGAGGGCCTGACGCGTGATGTCCTCAGTCGGCCTTCTCAGTGCATGGCCAATCCATCTCCACTTCTTCCTGCATATTTGTTGCGTGATAGGTTCTTGGTTGGTTCGTTCCCAGAGTTCCTTGTTGCTTATTTTTTCTGGCCATCTGATCTTCAGCAGCGAGCGTAAGCAGTTGTTGATGAATGTCTGTAGTTTATTGGAAATCCCTTTCGTGACGCGCCAAGTCTCTGAGCCATACAAGAGCACTGACTTGACGTTGGTGTTGAAAATCCGTATCTTGTTCCACATGCTGAGTGCGGAAGATCCCCACACTGGTTTCAGGCTAATGAACGCCTGTCTTGCTTTTCCAATTCTGACTTTGACGTCCTCGTCCGTCCCGCCTGTAGTTGAAACAGTGCTTCCTAGATAAGTGAAGGAGGTTACTTCCTTCAAGTTTCTCCCGTTGACGGTGATTGGAGTTTGTTGTTGTTGTTGATGTTGGTGGTGCGGTATCTTCATCACTTCTGTCTTCTCTATATTCACCTGAAGTCCCGTCTTAGCTGCCTCTTCTGTCAACTTGTTAGTTTTTGCCTGCAGATCTTCAAGTTTATGTGACATTAGGCATAAGTCATCGGCGAAATCCAAGTCTTCTAGGTTCTTTTCCGTCGTCCAGTGTATCCCCCTCTTCTCGCTGCCTACTGTTTGCTGCATGATCCAGTCCACCACAATAAGGAATATCATGGGGGATAGTAGGCAACCTTGTTTCACTCCTGTCTTCACTTCAAAGGCATCACTGAGCTTCCCATTGTGGATTACTTGGCATGTGGCATCTTCATATAGTTGTTGAATGAGGCGGATAAAGGTTTGCGGTACTCCGTAGTATTGAAGCAGTTTCCAAATTACTTCTCGGTCGACGCTGTCAAAGGCCTTCTCAAAGTCGATGAAGTTGAGGTATAGAGCTGATTGCCATTCTACGCTCTGTTCTATGATGATACGAAGCGTTGCAATTTGGTCAGCACATGATTTGTACTTCCTGAAGCCTGCCTGTTCCGGTCGCAGTTTTGAATCCAGTGCGTCTTTAAGCCTCTCCAGGATGATGCGGCTTAATATTTTACTTGGGGTGGATAGGAGAGTGATTCCTCGCCAGTTCTTGCAAGCACTGAGGTCTCCCTTCTTCGGCAGTTTGACAAGGTAACCCTTCTTCCAATCGACAGGTACCTTCTCTTCCCTCCACACCTTCTGCAATAGTGGTGTGAGCATGTCCGCTGTTGTCTCTGCATCTGTTCTCAGTGCTTCTGGCGGTATTCCATCTGGTCCTGCTGCTTTCCCGCATTTCAGTAGCTTTATGGCGTTCAGGACTTCCATTTTCGTTGGGGGATTTATGTTCACTTGTAATTCAGCGGCTGCAGGTGGTATTTCTGGACGAAGTGCAGGTGGTGGTCGATTCAAGAGCTTCTTGAAGTGGTCGGCCCATCGTTTCCTCTGTTTCTCTTCTTTTGTAATTAAATTTCCTTCTTCATCTTTTATTGGTTTCATCTGTGTTGGTCTCTTCCCTGATAGCAACCTGGTTATTTGATACAATGTCGTCAGGTCTCTCTTACCTGCAGCCTGTTCTGCTTCACTTGCCAGTGTGTCGTAGAAGTGTCTTTTGTCTTTGCGTGCACTCTTCTTCACTTCTTTATCCAGTGTTTTATACATTGTGCTCAGTTCCTCTTGTCGTTGAGCATCCTTGCACTGGTTTATCTTCTGCTTCACCATCCTCCTCTCCTCTATCAGCTTCCAGGTATCCGTCGAGATCCATTCCTTGTCTTCTTTCTTCTTCCTTCCTAATACTGTTGTGCAGGTTTCTTTCCACATAGCTTTCAAAGACTTCCAGTGTTCTTCCACACAGGTTTCTTCAGGGATGTCCCTCGACGTCTCCCATTTTGTCTTGATGGCTGCTTTGAAGATCTCCTTTGTAGTTTCATCCTTCAGTTTCCGAGTGTTGTACTTGAATTGAGGTCTATCACCAGCTTCCTTGAAGGCTTTCAACTTGATTTGGAAGGTTCCTTGCACTAGATAGTGGTCTGAACCTACATCTGCTCCTCTTCTTGACCTTGTGTTAAGTAGACTGCGTCTCCATTTTCTTGAGATTGAGATAAAGTCGATTTGATTTTTAGTGTGTCCATCTGGTGAAGTCCATGTCGCTTTGTGAATATCCTTGTGCCTGAACACACTGCCTCCAATCACCAAATCGTTGAATGCGCAGAATTCTGCAAACAATTCTCCATTCTCATTCATTTCACCTAGCGCCTCTCGACCCATGGTTAGTTCTCTTCCCGTGTTGTCCCCTCCCAGTTTGGCATTCATGTCGCCCATTAGAATTTTGATATCGCCAACTGACGTCTTGTCCAGTGTTGACTGAAGTTGTCTGTAGAATTCCTCCTTTTTCTCTTGCTCTGCATTATTTGTAGGTGCATAACATTGTATGATTGTGACCTTTCTTCCTTTTGAGTTGAATCTTGCTGTCATGATCCTGGAGGAGATTGGTTCCCACTGCATGAGAGCCTTCGATGCTCTTGAGGACATCATGATAGCCACTCCCTCAGTGTGCTCGTGGTTGGCGTCTGGGTGACCAGAGTAGATTATTGATTCTCCAGTTGACAGTTTGGAGAGTCCACTCCCATTCCATCTGCTCTCGCAAATCCCAAGCACTTCGATGTTATACCTTCTCATCTCCTTTGCAATCTGGGCTGCCTTACTGGGTTCAAACATCGTGCGGACATTCCATGTCCCCACGTTTACTTTCGCTTTCATCGAGAGAAGACACATCGGCCAATTGGCTTCCCGAAGGCTTTCACCAACTGGCGTCATTTCGCCTCTCCGATTCCAGCGGGGAATAAGTTTGTTTTCATTTTTTATATTTTGTTTGTGCTTTGAAGTTTCTTTAGCGGTTAGATTTGTTTTACGGGGTAGGGTTGCTAGCCCTATGCCCAACCTTCCCTCTTTACCCGGGCTTAGGACCGGCTAGTAACTAGTAAACTAGTTAACCAGGCGAGGTTATAAAGATGTTCATTCGTTCTCAGGATGAGGTAAAGACGCAAGGTGAACAAACCTGCAAAGTAAAATAGAACATCAAGAAACAAAGAAAGAAATTACAAGACCATCATGAACTATGAAAGATACTGATATCCATGAATGTCAAATGGTGGGCAAGATACAATGGAACAGAAAGAACAGTCAAGACTGAGGGTTAAGCAACATTATAAAGAAACATGACTATACTGCTCAAAAATACCAAGTAGTATAGGACTGAGGATAAAAAGGGGAAAACAAGAGAACTTCCTAGAGGGTAAACGAGAACAAGTAAGAAATGAATCAACAACAGCATACACTAAATTAAAGATGAAGAAGTTTAGGAAAACAATACATTTTGACAGATACCTAGATGATGAGTCTGTACATTCTGTGACCGCTAAAGTAACAGTCTCACGGAGTCTGATAAGGAAGGCTAACCATCTTGCTAGAAAGAAAGAAGCCAAAAAAGCAAAGTCAGTTTGCCGCACACTGGAAGCAAACAATTATCCCAAAGATTGCGTAAAAAGAATTTAAAAGAACGAAATTAAGGGTGTACCGAAACCTCCTAAGAAGTGGATATCGTAAGGAGACATGGGAAGAAATAAGAAGGATTTTCAACAAACATGGCATAAAAGTCTACTGTCGTGCAAAGATGTAGTACCTAAAGAAAATCAACAGAACTGTGTTTACGAAATCAGATGTGCAAATTGTAATGAAGTACATTTGGGGGATACAGACAGGCAGGTAAATGTAAGAGTGAAGGAGCATAAACTGAGTTGCAAGCAGATTTTGAAAATTTCAGAAGAGGTTAGGAAGCTGGAAAACAAGTTGGAAATTGCACTTTACTCGACAGAAACGGGCTACAAAATTAAATTCAACGAAACCAAGGTTCTACAAAATGTTTTGAGTCATACCAGGAAAGATTAATGACCGAAGCTCTTCTATATGGGTAAATCTAGATAGTTTGAACAGACAAGATGCAGTAGAGTTAGCTGCCTCTGGATAATTACTAATTTGTTAGGAGAAGGAGTGACTCTAGCATTTACCTTCAACACCAGTCTCAACTTTATCATCTCTACATCAGTAACACGACACAATATAGATTCATTTGATTCATCATTACTAGTATCGTCACCTCCACCAATTATTTCCACTGTATTCTGAAAAATCAACGAAAAATTAGTATCATTCATCCGTGTATACCAAGCAAGTTAACATGCTTGTCCACCTCCTATTCCCTACAGTACTTATAAAATCACCGAATGACTACTAGGTCGCCTGTGACCTTTTCGCCTCGTATTTACAATCAAGGCGAACATGAATAACAACGAACATACACACAACTCACACGCCAACCATACAACAAGAGACACAATTTCCCACTGAGTAATTAGTAATCATAGTTTAGAACGACAATGACTGCACGAAGAGTATTGGACATGGAGATTAAGTACACGTCTTTGGATTGATTTATATATCTTTAATATTTCGATTTTAATTATTCCCCTAAAGAAGCTCAGACCAGATTTTTGTATGAAACGTTTGAATTATTTCATTTCAAACACTATGCGACTTACACAAATACAAACTATATTTAATGTAAGCCTTTTTACTCAGCACCCAACACTAACGATAAGAATTTTGAGGGAGTTGTGAAGATTTGGAAATATTTCACGTTGTTATTCATCGAAGACTGAACTGGTGCTCATTGGTGACTAGCTTCGAGAGGTATTCCCGAAGTTCCAATGAGCAGTCGTGACCGGTGGAGTCAAAGCTTGATGGTCGTGAAGACAGTTACTCAACGATGACATTGGGTGACGGTTGCGCTATACCGTGAGCTAACAGAAGTTGGAAATATGGATTTTAACCCAGTGACTCAATGGTAACGCGCTGGCCGCGGAACCTGAAGGTTGCAGGTTCGACCCCTGGTGGGGTCATGGGTGCGCACTGCTGAGGAGTCTCATACTAGGGCGAAACAGCTGTCCAGTGCTCCGAGGTTTCCTTTGTTCCTCCTACTGATGTCAGTCTTCGATGAATAACACTTGAAATTAACTATAAGACTAGGTCAAATCTCGATCGTGGTTCGTATGAATTATCTTTCCAGTTGAAATGGAGAACCTAATTGGTTATTTCAGTTGTTGCTGCGATGGCTTTTTAAGTTAATCTTAAAGTTACACTGTGTTAATGTTCATAAATTATTTTCCTTTATCTACTCCATATTAGTGTCCAGTCCGTTAATTTTTCTCCATCTTGCATGTAATAGTTCAGTTTTTTTTAAGTTGATAGGCCTGACAATTTTCCCTTGCATTCTGAGACATGCTCTGTGATAGGATTTACGAAACGAGTTAAGTGCAATAATACATTATACATATTTTTACCAGTGGTCTGCGAGGAAAACTTAAAAGCTAACCTTTAACTTCATCCATTTTTTAAATGTTTTTGCAAACCATTTATATTTCTTTGTAATGATGGATAGTGGCTAGCAGTGGAATCCGGGATGCGCATTTCGTCCTATTTGGGACTCGTCATCTAAATGTGCCTGCTTCCCGGTGAGTGATGTTGTTCCACCGGAATTCGGTCCAATCAACGACGGTATGATATGAAAACAATTATACGATTTATATTTCTTTGTTTACAATTCCATTTTTTCTTCTTCCCCCCATCTATCATACACGTACACATACAATTAACACTGTACAGTTCCTCCAGCATTCGACACATCGAATGTGCAACCTGAAGTACATTGGTTTGTTAATCAAACTCGATCACTTGATTGCACATTGATGGACGGAGTTGATCCACCACCACAAATTAAATGGGAACGAAATAATCTGCCAATAGTGAATGGACCAGACATTCAAGTGTCTGCTGATGGCAGTAAAATAACAGTGCCTCTTGTACAAACACGAGATGCTGGAGAATATGTTTGTCATGCTCAAAATGAAGTTGGCAAATCCACACAAATATTTAATGTACTCATTTATGGTAAGTTCGTGATTTATTTTGTGTCATTCATAGTTAACTAATGCATACAATAATCGTAGATGATTGTGAGAGTAGATGATAGAGTTGCAGTTGATTGGAAGGGCGAATACGAATATGATGTTGTATGGAGCAGCCGGTGGTTAGTGTTCACGAGAACGAAATAATCGACTAGCTGATTGTTCTCCATCGCTCTCTGTTTTGACTATCATCAGATTCCAAACTAAGTAATGACCAAAAAGACTGGTGAATCGATACTATTTCGTATCACACTGTAACATTTTAACCACTAGCTAAACAAAATTGTTGCTGATAATATACAAGTCATGCAACTAACGAATACAATTCATGCAATTCATACAATTCTGACAGATAATCAGTCTGATAAATAAGTAATCGAATTCGTTTTGTGTACATGTACAAAACCTCAGACTAGTTCGGTTTGTCCTTTGTTTATTGCTTTTGTACATACATAAAGACGCTTCAGGTTAAAAGTTTGGTTCTCGTGTGACTACGGTTTGGTATGTAGTTCGCCTTTCTTAACTGGCAGTTTATATGCTTACAAAAAGCAAAAAACCTACATGCAGGGCTTCTTGCCTATTACGTCCATCCAAATAACACCTGAGGCAATTTATGTATTGCAGTTTTACTCAAGTGGTATTTCTCTGTTATTGACACAGTTGAAGTTGACATCAAGTTATCTATGTTTTGATTATAGCTAAGCCCAGATTCTGTCACCTCAGTATCAACGTAAAAAACCAAGAAATTTAGGTAACTGAAATCTTACAACGTAGGTTTTCTTGTAGTCTAATCAACTGGTATTTACCTCTTCAGTTAAATTTTGGGGTATATGCATTGGAAGGTGTAGGGGGTTTCGTTTTTTGATGATTGTTGTTTTGTACATACAACCTGATATATCTTAGGTCTTCAGCTAGCTGTAGAAACAACCTTCCAAGTATACTGATAAACAGTTATATCAGTTGTACTATAATAGATATTTGGGCTAATTAGTTGTTTCGTGTGTATCAAGTTATAAGTTAGAATAATATGCAAGTAATTATTTGGAGGTGTAGATAATAGAAGCGAATAATACGAATAATACGACCTGAGCTGGTTCGGGAAAACGCAACCCTCTATACTTGCGTTGAGTAAATGTCTGTGAATAAAATACCAGTTAGATCCCAATGTAGGGGAATTTAGACCGACATTCACGAATGTGATCATGTATTCCATTATATTGTTTACAGTTATAGTTTCCACAAAAAGAAAGTTTCTATACTAAAATTTAGGTGGAAGCATTATCGTTCGAAAACTACATTGCGGATGGTTTATCAGGAATGTCAACCGAAAGTAAGAAGGGCGCACACAGTCTTTAAATCATTGCTCAAGATTTATATTCTAATACTTTACCGACATAACAGTTTATAACGAAGAATGAAATGCACTAACATCGAGTCGTGAAATATCATGGTGTTTTTGGCGAAAATGATAACTTAGAGTTTTAGATTTTTTTTCTGGAGCATAATCTCAGCTTATCTTCCCATTTCGACCATTGTATCATCACCTTTTACTACTAAACTGTTTTACGATCTAGGTGGATATATATATATATATATATATCCACCTAGATCGTAAAACAGTTTAGTAGTAAAAGGTGATGATACGATGATCGAAATGGGAAGATAAGCTGAGATTATGCTCCAGAAAAAACTCTAAAGACAACGAAATAACTGAAATGCAGTAATACCACTTGTGAATAGTAAGTGCTACACATAAAAACGTAAAACAATTGATACTGAGCTATGCACTCATAACAGAAGGATGGATATGGAGAAAGTGAATTCATCATTTATGCAACTTAGAAAAATACTTGAAATCATGATATCATGTAAGCGTATTATTAAACGATAGTTTGAATAAACTCAAACAAAACACTGATGTATCTCTTTAATATTTGATTGCTTACGAAATGCAAAATGATTGTCTACATACTCCGGTTATAATTACAGTCTTTAGGGAAAACCAAATTCACATAGAATAGTTTTGATGTGCAGTAAGTACCACAATGTGTTTTCTGACACACATCTACATAAATAACTGAGGAAAAAATCATAGATACGTCAAGTAAGGGAAAGTGGTTGGGTTGTTCAAGGGTTTAGGCAATAATATAAAAGTAGAAACAAGGATATATGGTTAGACATATTTCCATTTCAAACCATTGATTACATGTATCACACAGTGATAGAGTGTTATTTGCTGGATGACGTTTTGAACATATTTATTGTTCATGATCATATCAAGGTATGAACTTCTTACCAAGAATACAGTACAGTACTGTATTAGTAACTAACAGTGACTAGTAGATTATGAACTCCTAATCCTGAGGTGTCTATAGACTCATCAACATCAAAAGCACCTGAAACAGTATAAACAGCAAAGCTATGTCCAAAGTAAGGCAGTAGGAAATATCAAAAATGTGTGGATTCTCAAAACAAAGTTAAGGGCATAGATAAAAATTTTTTAAGGAAAGATATAGAGTCAGGAAGGTAGCCAAATGGAAGATAACATAGTTATGAATTGGGAAATATACCCATATCCTGGTATCCTAAGTGATGAATGAAATATGATCGTAAAAGAAATGAACAGTCAAAGGTGTTTATAAAACAGCATTGGGAAAAACATATCACACTACACGTTAATAGTAAGTAGTACTAAGCTGTATGCATAAAAGGTGAATTTAAATTCGAGATGGAAGGAAATTAGGATGCGATAAGAAAAAGATTTGCACAAGGTGTAGCTTATTCCTTTGGAATGCGAACAAGAAATTCCACTTCTGCATTGGTCCCGTATAGTCATGAATGACGTATTTTACACTAAGCACTAATGATCTAATGACCTAACACTACAAACCACTTACTGTATCCACTATGATGAGTGCTATTTAACCACTACCAATATAACACAGCAATAGACCTACCACACTACCCTAGATCAACATTAAGTATTGAATATAAATTGGTAAAGCTATATCGATGATCCCAAAACAAGTTATATCTGTAGGTAGGAGTAAATAAATAAATTACCGGTTAGATTTTGCGCTTTATAAAGCATATGTGATGTGGAACTGGTAGTAAACATAGGTTGTTGATAGAATCCAATATGTATTACTTTGAACTGTAGGACACTAAAACCAATATGGTTCCATCTTAATACTTATCATTGAGTAATGGAAACGCATGTGAGAGTTGTCTTTCCATTCCGTTAATTTGTACTTAAATTTTTTCGTCTCAATTGAAACTGGCGTAAACTATATACAGTTTGTTTGATTACCATGTTGTTTGACCATGCACAGTGTAGCCTTTAGTCTTCGAACTTTATTTTTAGAAGAATAATGACTGGGAATGAAATTGTGAAATAGCGAATGAAGTTACTAACGAAGTTAGCTGCAATGCAGCTAGAATTCATCATCAGCATATATCAAATCAAGGTACATATGACTCCCAATCTAAGTTATATTTTACGAAACACTCTTGAACTTATGATTGTTCCATTGCGAAGTGAGCTCATTACGTTATGGAGACGGTTTACACCACATAATTCTATACGACACTAAAGTTACTCTTGAGTTCATATATCGTATATTTGTAATTGTAAACAGATGATATTTGTTCCAAAAGCGACCTGTTTTAATGAATCATTTTCAAACTGAAGGAAGATTTTACATACTGTCTTTGTTAAAATACAGATAATAAGACAGAAAGTATAATCATCAGAGCTATTTCCGGATATTCATTTAGTGATATTCATCTAAGCATTAAAACTATACTTGTTCAACAATAATTTTAGCCCCTTTAAGTATATAAAAATCTGCACTCGAACTGTTTTCCCTACTTACCTCATGTTGCGTGTCACTGTATAAAATCTGACCATGTAAACGACAACAGAATTGAATTAGTATTAATAAACAGTTTTTGATAACACAGCTAAAATTTTACTCGAATAAAAATGAAGAAGAGTGGGATGAGAGAGTTAACTCGATGGTGTATTTGGATGAAATGACTTGATCTTTACCAATAAGTTAGCAAATAAATCCTAAAATTATGCATAAAGTCGCTTTCTAGTGGTTTCGATAATTAGATATCAAGCAGTGAATTCCTAATTCAGGCTAACTTTTTTGATCACTCTTCTACTTATGTAATGTTGTTATTATACGCTAAATCGATGTAAATTACACAACGAGTTTGTGCATAGCCAGTAGGTCGTTACCTGTATTAGTCAAGGGTAATTTTCAAGAGTATGATTAGTTTCTGTTTGCGGTTACTAGTGCTAGTTCGTGAACGGATCAATAATAATTTTATCTGTCGTAAAGCAACTCATCGAAATTATTCGGTAGCTTA